TGCATTCCCTGAGTGCAGAGTGATGATAGGTTTGGGAAACTGTGCAGTGTGATGTCTTTTGTTGGGTAAATCTCTCCAGTTGTCCTCTGTCGTTGTGTTTAGGACCGTGGCAACAACAACAGTGTGATGAGTAACTATGAAGCATACAAGCCATCGTCTGGGGCAATGGGAGACAGACTTACAGCAATGAAAGCAGCTTTTCAGGTTGGTTCAATCCACGTTCTAACTCAAGAGGAAAGGAAATGAGGTGGAAAATGTTTCCTACTGATAGTTTGAAGCAAATTTTTTCTTCCTTGAAAGTGCAGAAACCCTGTGCTGACTTCAGGGAAATTGAGTTTGGTGGTTGCAGCCACATCTCATTCACTTGGGGCAGGGAGTCTGGAGTGGAAGAATTAGCATGTAGGCTGCACTGAACGTATTTGCACAACATTCATTTGCCAGATTTATTTTGTGTTCTGCTGCCTATTTGCTCTTCTTCCCTTCTGGATTCTGTTTGTTACTACATTCGATCCTGTTTGGCTGCCTTGAGTGTAAAAATTAACCCCACAACACAGAAGTCCCCTTGTTTCTGTGGTCAGGCAACAGATGTCTGCTACTAATTCTGTGCTGATAAGCAGGGCAGGAATGTAATCACTCTTTGAAACTCTGTGAAAGGGGAGATAACAGCAGGACAAGGGGAAATGGTTTGAAGTTGAGGGAGGGAAGATTGAGGTTGATGTCAGGGGGAAGTTCTTTGCTGTGAGAGTGGTGAGGTGCTGGAACAGCTGCCAGAGAGGCTGTGATGCCCCGTCCATCCCTGGAGGTGTTCAAGGCCAGGTTGGATGGGGCCCTGGGCAGCCTGGGCTGCTCTGAAATGTGGAGGTTGGTGGCCCTGCGTGTGACAGGGGGTTGGAGCTTCAGATCCTCGAGGTCCCTTCCAACCCTGGCCGTTCTGTGATTCTGATTCACTCCAAGAACGAGTTTTTGTAGGAACCCTTCCTCCTGGGGACATCCTGAAGTTCAGGACAGGGTTGTGCCTGCATGCTGGCTGTGTGTTCTGTGGCGCAGCACAGATGCAAACACTTCTTTTTCCCTTCCTTTCTCTCTTTCTGGCAGTCCCAGTATAAAAGCCACTTTGTTGCTGCAAGCTTGAATAACCAAAAGACTGGAAGCTCTGCTGCTGGTGCCAGTGGCTGGACCAGCGCGGGGAGCTTGAACTCAGTACCTACCAGTTCTGCACAACAGAACGCTGCAAACCCCGCCAGCCCCATCGCAGCCACCGCGGCGGCGAAAGGCGTCCCGGGTTTCAGCAGCACCGGGACTCTGAGCAGCGTTCCCACCTTTCCCGGCGTCGGGATGCAGGGCTACAGCAACAACAACGGTGCCAACGCCGGCGCCGCTAATCGGGAAGGCATCGGCAGCGCCGGCGGCGCTCCTCGCGGTGGCGGCGGTGGAGGCGGAGGTGGCGGCGCCGTTCGGGAGCGCTACAGCGACGGCAGGAACAGTCGGCACAGCGAGGCCCCGCGCCGCGGGGAGGGCGGCGGTCGCTACAACGATTCGCAGCATCACGGGGAGGGGGGCGGTCGCTACGGTGACGCCTATCGGCACGGGGAGGGCCGGCACGGGGACAGCCATCGCCACGCCGAGAGCCGGCACTTCAGCGACGCGGGAGGTGCCAATCGCAATAACGTTGACGGCAGGAATATCGGCGAAGGGAGGAGCAACGAGAGCAGGAATGGTGAGAACAGGAAGGATGCCAGCAGCCGAGACAACAAGACAGATGGTTTTGCTGTCCCAGAGCCCCCGAAACGTAAGAAGAGCCGGTGGGACAGTTAAAAGCTGGTGCTTCACAGCCTGGGATTTCTGCAGGTCTCTTATCCGGAGGATTTCTTGGTAACTGGTTGTTGAGCAGCTGGGGGAGGAGAAGGAAGCCGTGCAAACTCCCCACGCGAGTCTGCGCCGGTACATCTGCAGACATTCACTCTGATGATGTGTACGTGCGATGCTTAGAAAGAAATCATTTTGATAAAGCTACCTGGGTTCTGCTTTTAAACATTCAGCGCTCGAATAACTCGGCTGGATTTAAACAGATCTTCTTGACCAGAAAGAAGCTGTTTCGTGTCCTTGCAACAATAAGAAACTGTTTCAGGTTGTCTTTTCTTAACCAGCACACCCACCTACAAACCAGTCCATCTGTTGATGCTCAGGACCCACCTGTTTAACATTAAACAGCATTAACTTTCAGCAGTTTGTTCACTATGGTGAGTTCTTCTCCAGTTTCTTCTTTTCACCCCCTCTTTTTTCCCCAAATAAATCTTGGCTTCCAGATTTGCCCCTTCCATCTCTCCCTATCACTTAAGAATGTATCAACTTTCCTTGCTTTAGGTGGGATGGAACAAGTTGAGTTTTCTTTCCTTTAATGTCTTATGGAAGCTGTTGAAGGGATCCTTCTCCCGCCCAATTAACCGCGACTTCCCAAGTGGGGGTGGAATCCCTGCTTTGTGCTCAGCACAGCAATCCCATTGCCCAGGTGTCCTTTTTTTCCTTGTAAAGAACCTCCTGTTTTCCCAATAGCCTTCATTTGGGTGGAAGCCTGCATAGCAAACGTGTCTGTGCTGTGCCTATGCACCCTCTGTTATGAGAGGGCTGATGGCTTTCTTCAAGGTAAAAACAAAGGGAAGAAAAGAAAGAAATGTGGATCTGCCCCCAGCAATCAGAGCCTGGTGCCCCCATGAAATGAAGCTCAGTGAAGGGCCTTCATTCCGAAATTCAGGGACCTGCTGCTCAGAAGCCTGTAGGGAGAACCTGAAAAGCGACTGATGGAGCGGAACAGCTCAGAGATCCCACGTTGGACACGTGCAGTTAAAAGTGTAAAATCTTGCTTGCCCGTTTTTAACTCATTGTGTGCATTACCTGTTTTTTAACTCCTTTTTTTGTTTGCGCCATGAAGGTAAGGAGGAGCTCTGGTGTTGAAACGTCAGCACTCACCTCTGTCTTGTTTCTGCTCACAGAAGTATCAGAACCTGTCAGGTTTTTGTGACGTTGTGAAGTTTTCTTTATCCGCTGTGCGTTTGCTTTCTGCTTGCTTTAGTAAATGTTTTATTACCAAGACAAAACACCTGGCACGTGCTTTTCATTCTCTGCTTTTCCTCGGGCTCTCCTGGCACCGGGATGGAGATCTGTCCTGTTGGAGATCTGACTGCAGCCTTTTCTTTCACCACAAGTAGGTGAGAAAAATAATCCCGTGCTTTTTCTCGCCGTCTTTTACCTCAAACAGTTTGAGAACCGTATTTGAGCTCCAGAGCCTTCTGGGGTTTGGGTTCTCCCACTCTGAAGTGGAGAAGTGCAGGGCTCACTGCTTGTCCCAGCCTTTCAGAGTCCTGGGGCTGGAAAGAGAACTCAGCAGCGCTGGTGATGTGCCCAGCATTGCAAATGCCCTCAATTCACTTCAAGTTTGCCTCTTCAGGCCCCCTCACAAACAGCTCTGATACAGTTTGTGGAACAGCTTCCATTTGAGTTGTCCCATCGCTTTTTGCACTGGTTTGAACTCTGCGAGACAGCAGAGTTTGTTTAGTAGTCACTATTGAGATGAGGATGATCTCCTGTGGCAGAGCTCAGGAGCCTTTGTGGATTCCCCTTATCACACTCGCTGTTTATCACAGTTAAAGATCTGAGTTCTAAAACCAAAAGATGGCTCTGTAACCTGAAGCTGCTCCCTGCCCCCTTGGTTTCACATTGCTGCCTCTGGGAGCTGGCCTGGCTGGAGCTGTGCTGTCTGCCCTTGTTTTAAATGCATCCCTCTGCTGTTTTGATAGGATTACTGAAATTCCTCACCCCTCTCTCAGCTGCCGAGTCAATATTGATCCGTGGCAGAGAGCTATAAATGTCAGCTCACAGGTCCGTGTTGGATGGGTAGCAGGGCTGATCCCTCTTCCACAGAACAAGGTAGCAGTGTGAGCTGCATGCCAGCTACCCTGAAAAAGTCTCTCCCCTTGCAGTGGCAGGCTGCACTTTCTTCTGAAGAGTCAGGAGCACAAACCAGCTGAGCAAATCAACTGCGAGAAGCTCAGGTCTGCCTGTAAAGCACAACCCTGCTGCTCCGGCACCCCCTGCCCTGTGCTCCGCAGTGGAGCAAGAAGAGCAGGAGGTGATGAAGATGTGCCACCTTCAAGACCCGCTGCCCCCCTGTGCCCTCATGGCCCCTGGCTGTTGCCCCCCCCCCCCAGTGATTCCTAATCCTTGTGACTCTCTTTACATCTAAGCTTTTCACTGGAAAGGTCTACGAATGCACACGCAATTACTCACATGCTCTCTGTCGCTATCTTTATTATGAAATTACATTGGAACAAGTACATCCCCGCTCCCAGCAGTGCTGTAATTCTCTCTCCCACCCATCTCTCTGTATTCTTAGGAGTGTCTTTTCCCGGCAGTGAGCATTGCCTTGCAGGGGGGGCAGCAGGGAGCTGTGCCCCACGAACAAGCAGGGAGGGCAGAGCTGGGGGCTGTGATGCTGGCTGGGCTTCCAGCCCTTCGCATCCTCAGCTGTCCTGTAAGCGATTGCTGCACACATCCATGGGGATGGGGGTGAGGGGGGGGGAGCTGCTCTGCCCCTCTCGTGCTGTACAGCAGGAATTGGGTGCTGAACAGGGGAGTCAGACTTAAAGGGTTCAATCTCATTGGCTCGATTTTGAATGCACTGGAGCTGAAGTCACTTTCCAGACCATCACAATGAGGCACTGAGCCTGGAGGTCTGTTTCCTGTGATGATTCAAGGCTTTGCATGCAGACATCACTTACACCATCACCTGCACGTGGAAGGAAATGAAGTTTTGAACTGCTGCTCGGTTTTAGGCCAGGCAGGTACAAGAGGGAGCAGGAGCACGTGGTTCCTTGGCACGCTGGCTGTGAGGAAAAGGGCAACGGGTTGATTCAGCTGCTCTCTCCTGCCCCAGCTCTCCATGCAAGCACAAAAGTTGCCCCAAACACAAAGACTGGTGCAGCTGGGAGATGGCAGCGTTAACTTCACAGCATCGTCTCCAGCTCTCTGTTCAGATTCGGGTGATTCTCATCCAGGTCCTTTAAGCCCAAGCTGTTTTCCCCGCAGGTTTTCTGGCTCATCTCCTGCGTCAGATGAGACAAAAGCTCTGCAGCACAGGAGCTGGGGGCGTAGCCTGGCAGGCTGCCGCGGGCAGGGAGAAGCAGCCCCCGGGGCTGTGTGCCCCCCGGCCCTCGCCCTGCCAGGCTCACGCTGAAGCTCGTGGTGCCGTGGGACATCAGCCCAGCATAACAGCAGCTCCCTGCTGCGCTGCTGGCACGCGCCTTCTGCTTGAAGTCCAGCGCCAGGCTTCTCCGAAAACGGGCTTTTTTAATCTCTGCCTGCACCTGTGGGAGAGATCAGAGCTGCTGCTGCTCAGAGCCACCAAAGCGGTCCTCCCTCCCCTTCTCAAATCCGAGTTTTCCCTCTGGTTATCCAGGGGGTGCAGGGAAAGATGCTGCCCCCTGCTTACCTCCCCATTGCAAAAGCAGTAGATAAAAGCCACAAAGAAACCCTGCCAAAAGAGATGGAGGAGTTTTGAGTCCTGAGCTCAGATTCCTGGATGAGCATCGCTGTGCTTGGAGCACCGTTACCTGAGAGGAGTTGAAGATCATCTCATAATGCATCTGGATCTGCCACAGGACCCCCGAGACTTCGGTGTAGGGCATGGCCATGAACACCACGTAGTGCACTCCAAAAAGCGGCATCAGCACCAGCGTGGACCTCAGCAGCTTTCTGGGAAGAGAAATCAGGCGCCGAGCTGAGATCTGCCAGCAGCTCTGCTCTTCGTTCACAGCCCTATGGGGAACCGTCCCCAGGAAGCGGGCAGAGGATGAGCCAGGCCTGCACTCGCCTGTACTGCTGCCGGGGGTCCAGCTTCCCCGTGTTCGTCTCCCACAGTTTGGAGGCCAGCACCCGCACGATGTTGAGGAAGAGGAAGAAGTTCACCTGCCAACAGCCACCCGCCCGCCTTGGGTTTGTTGCCTGCAGGGACCTGGCCCTGAAAATGGCAGCAAACGGCCCTGGGGTGCTCAGCCCCCTCTTCCCCAGAAAGGATCGTTAATTTCCTACCACCACAGCAGCCAAGATGGGGACCTGGTAAATCCACTTCATGCTCCCTGCACTGAGGTCCCAGCACCTGAAGAGAACGGGGAGGACACACCAAAGAAATGCCTGAAATCCTGGTGGCAGACGATGGCTGCCTGTCCCCCCATCACCATCCCCACCTCCTGTCCTCCCACCTTCCCCTCTTTGCTGTCCCTGAGCGCCTGGCTGGGAGGAGTTTGGGGATTTGGGTAAATCATTTTGACAGCAGTTATCAATGCATGATGTCAGCCTCCACCTGGCTTCATTCCACAAGCAAGACAAAGATATTACGGGTCTCAACTAGTGGCAGTTTCATGAACAAGCCTTTTGTGTTTGCTGACTCCTCTTGTTCTTTTTGGAAATCTTTTCTGAAGTTCTGGTGCCCACAGATTTCTTGCTAGCATCTGCAACCTGCCTTCCCCTCCCCAAAGAACTGCTGGAGGAGATGGATCTACGTACTGTGTGTCTGCCAGGGAGGCCCTGACGCTGGCCCAGATGGACACAAACACAGCGGGGAGACCTGGAGGGATGGAACACGAGAGGAACACGGCTGAGATTGGTGTTTGCAGCCCAAAACGATTCATGGTTCACGTTCCACTGCCCCCATCGGTGCTGCTTGGCTGGTGCCTCAGCTCCTTGCTGGGCTCAGCACCACCAGCCTTGGGTTGGGGTCCAAACTCACCCCAGCCAATGATGATGAGGACCCACAGGTAGTTCTTGTTGGAGAGGAAGGCCATGAAGATCAGGCTGTGCAGGTAGAGACCTTCCACCAGGATCCAGTAGTGGTTGGTGGCCAGGAAGTAGAGGAAGAGCGTCACCACCACCTTGCAGCCAACCTGTGACGTGGGTCAGAGAGGTGCCAACATCAGTCCTCCCCAGGGCTACAACTCCTCTGGGTTTGTCCAGCACAGGCTGAAGGGCATCAGCACGGGGAGAACACAGCTGTGCTACGGTTGGCCCTTTGTCCCATCCCTCCCAGTGGCATCACCCCACGTAACGCAGTCCGTATCCCCACACTTCCGAGTTCCTAAATACCCTTTTTCCCCCAATCCTGTCTCTGTGCTCTACCAGGTGGCTGCGTTGGCCCGGCGGGGGGCTCAGCTCTGCCCCCAGGTCCTCCTCCCTCAGCTTCGCCTCGCTGCCCATCGTGGCCGAGTAGAGCACGGCGTCCTTCAGGAAGATGCTCGCTGCCCGGCAGATGAAGGAGGCGAAGAGGTGCATGTGGATGTAGTTGCGAGTGCAGTGCAGGCGCCTATGGAGAAGGGTGTGACATGAGCACAACCCCAGCTGCCCCACAGCTCATTCCACGGGGGCTGCCAGGTGGTGACAGGGGGCCGGACATCAACTCCAAGGTGTCAGCCCCCCAGGAGGCAGATCTGGGTGAGAGTGGATCTTCAACACCTTCAAAAGTGGGGTGTGTTGGTCATGGGGAGCCAATGAGATGTGGCTCCTGGGGGCTTTGAGAACAGCCTGGAGTGGTTCCAGTTGCTCCAGGGGCTGCTGCACGCAGGGCAATGGGGAGGTTTCCTCCCATGGGGACAGGAGCTCAGCTCCTCCTTACTTGAAGTAGGAGAGGATGCAGACAGCCACAATGAGGGAGGCCAAGGAGATGGAGTAGCCAGTGGTGTACATCAAGTGCAGGCGGTCAAACACCTCCTGGAAGAGAAGGGCTCTGCTCCAGACCTCCCACAGCCTGTGTCCCTTCTGCCTCTGGGCTGAGAACACAGGGAGAACTGGGAGTGCTGGGGAGCAGAGGGGGACGTCTGAGCCCTGCTCCCATCCCAGCCCCTTTCCCAGCACCTTCCAGTCACCTTCTCACGGCTCCGGCTCTCGGAGGAGAAGAGCACGGCGCATTCGGTGTAATTGGCCCAGGTCCTGTTGAGGCTGAGGGTCACTTCCCAGGTCCCGTAGGCACTGCAGTACCTGTAGGCACGGCCTGGGGACAGAAGGGGACTCTGAGAGCTGCAGGACTCCCAGCAAACCCAGCAGTGTCCCCAAGGTGATTCCTGAGATATTGCTCAGCTGCAAGTGCTCACCTTTATGGTTGAAGTCATAGATGTAATCAGGGCAGGGCACGGCCACCTCCTGGCTGGGAGAGCCTTTGGGCCAGCAAATGATTCCATCCCATTCTGGGAGGCAGTTGGTGTCTGACGAGGGGGCAAAGGCACTGCTTGTCCCAGTGACACAGCATGCATCCCATCCCATCCCACACATCCCATCAAATCCCATGCCTCCAATCCTGTCTGCCTCCCATCCTTACCCATGGCATGCATTCCAACCCCATCCCATCCCCATCCATCACATGCATCCCATCCCCATCCCATCCCATCCCCATCCATCACATTCATCCCATCCCCATCCCATCCCATCCCATCCCATCCCATCCCCATCCATCACATTCATCCCATCCCATCCCATTCCATCCCATCCCCATCCCATCCCCATCCCATCCCCATCCATCACATTCATCCCATCCCCATCCCATCCCATCCCCATCCCATCCCATCCCATCCCATCCCATCCCATCCCCATCCCCACACCAGGACCCTGCAGTCCCTGAGAACTGTGTGTCCCCCACATGTCCTGCTGCCATTGGAGGGGACGCAGCGCAGTCCCCCAGGCCCTCCCGTGTGCAGGACCAGGCGCTACCTTTGACCTTCTCCAGCTGAGCTCTGATGTCTCTCTGACATCTTTCTCTGGCTTCCACCAGGAGGTAAATCTGCTCTTCCTTAGTGAGAACGTCGTCAGGGTCCACCTGCCCACAGAGATAGGGGTGAGGAGCCCATCACGGTGGGGCCGCTGCTGTCTGAGGGCAGCTCAGATCTGCTCTACCACCAGAGCAGCTGGGATGGAAGCGAAGGCTGCAGCCCCACAGCACTGCACTCCCCTTTGGAGTCACAGGATCACAGAGTCCTGCTTGGGAACACCAAGCACTGCAGGAAGAGCAGAACGACATGGGATGAAATTTGGGGCCAGGATGGGCAAAGCAGCAGCATTGGCAACGGAATGAGCAAAGACTTGGGGTTTGCAGAGCACAAAGGTGTGGGGCTGCGTTGTCCCATCAGTGTCCCCCCCGCTGCTGAAAAGCCATCAGTGGGAGCAAGGAGCCATGAGATCCCCAACCAGCACGGGCTGCAATTAGCAATACATAATCAAAGCCAACAGAGCAGAGAGAACGAAGGAGCCAACGCAGACTTACCAGAGCCTGGGCAGAGCCCAGCAGGCAGCAGCAGAGCAGAGCAGCCACGATGCCCACAGACCCCATGGGACGGAGCCAGTGAGGGATGGGAGCCGTGTCCCCAGCAGCCCAGTGCTGCAGGCTATGGGGTGAGCTGAGGTGTGGGGCCAGGTGCAGCATCCTCAGGGAGCGCCTTCCCAAACGCCGTCCCCATGGAGGCGAGGTGTCAGTGGGGCAGTTCTATGGGGATGGAGGCTTGCACAGGGCTGCCATGCTGGGGATTCGCCCCACAGCTTCGCCTGCTCCAATCCAGCGCTGGTGCCCCTCCGGCTTTAAGCTGCTCCTGGAGAGTGCAAACAGTTCCCAGAGGGATGGGGATGGCAGAGGTCTGTTGGCTCAGCCCTAGGTGCTAAAATCCTCTTTGCTCGAGGCGGATTCCTCCTTTCAGATCGTCTCTCACTGCCCAGCAGCTCATTTTTCAGCTGTCACACATTTCCCCACCACCCCAAGCTCCAGCCTGGTTCTGAGGAGCCGAGGGAATGGGAATGCAGCTGGAGGTGGGGAGGCAGAGGGTGCGACACGTGAGCATCTCTGTGCACTGCTCTCCAGCAGTGCTTTAACCCTTTTCCTTCTCTTGGGATCAGGGATCAGCCCCGCTCCCCCCAGGGCTTCCTGTAGCATCTCACTGCACAGCTGCACACCGTCTGGGCACACGCCAGCATTGGGTCCCACACCATCCCCATCACTGCAGTCCCTTGTCACCCTACGGGGAAGCCCTGGGGCTGCCCCATTTGGGGATCATGCTCACACTCACCTCATCCCCACCACCTCATTGGTTTGAACAATTTGCGTCCACCAAATGGCAAAAGGAGGCACAAAACCAGGCTGGATGTGGCTCTGGGCAGCCTGGTCTGCTGGTTGGCAGCCCTGCACACAGCAGGGGGTTGGAAGCAGGTGATCGTTGTGGTCCCTTTCAACCCAGGCCATTCTGTGATTCTATGATCCTCACCTCTGAGCAGGGCGACCTCGGGACGGGGCCAAAATTCAAAACCTCTGTGCAAAACCCTGGGAACTGCAGGACCCCAAACCATGGCTGGGTGTCTCCGTAAATGGCAAAGCCCCGCACAGGGCAGAGCTGGGGGCCTCCCTGCTGCTGCGTTTTCCAGACAGAGCTCTGGTCCTGACCAGGGGCTGCATGGAGGAGGTCGGGCTTTGCTGGGTTCCTGCAGACAGCAAAAATCTGTCTGATAGCTGAGAGAGCAAAGCAGATCCCAGGAGCTGCTGCTGCTTACTCTGATTGAACCAGAGAGGAAAACTGCAATGGGGTGCAGCTGTAAACCAAGAGGGAGCGGAGCAGAGCTGGCAGCTGCCCCTCGCCCTGGCCCTATTTAGACCCCATCCCAAGTTGCTGTGGGTAGTGGTACGGTTCTTTGGCTCATGGAGATTATGGGGCTGTTTTGTGGGCTTTTAGAACAGGAGATGGGATAAGTGTGTGATGGCAGGAGTGGTGTCTGGGGGGCTGGTTTGCAGCCAAGGAGCTCCTGCTGAGCAGGGCTGCAGGTGGAGGAGGTCACTGGAGCTCTGTGCTGTGCATGGGCTGGTGGTGATGGAGGGGAGGCATGGGGCCATCGGATTCCCACTGCTCGTGAAAGCTGACCCAGACCTGGAGTTTGCAGTGAGCAAAACATGTTGTTTTCTGCTAAATTGCTTGCTGGATTACACAGAGATCAGGGAGGCAATCACAGTAAGTGACACCCACCAGCCCCATCGTGCAGCCCCTCATCCGTGCTGGCAATCAGCAGATGATGGCACGCAGCAAATTTCCCTCCTTCTGAAGGACCCCCCTGACCCCGCTGGTGGCACAGCCGGCACCGAGCAGCATTCTGCTCTAAGAGGCTGGGTGGGAAAGCTCAAAGTTTAATTTCTGGGGTAGTTTTCTTCCTAGTGGGAAGCACAGGTCAGCATTTGCAGCCCATCTCCCTGACTGCGTGCACCTTTCCCTACGCCGTTCATTTTGGGCAGGGATCAGAGGAGCAGAGCAAAGCAGAGGAGCTGCCCAACACAAACCTGCAGCTGCATTTTCTGCACTCATGCACGCAACCCAGATCTACGGGTGTCACGGCTCAGCCCCAGCAGGACCTGTTTTCCCCCCCAGCAGTCAGTGCCTGCGTGCTCCGGATGGAGCAATGAGGCCATGCAGCACCCCGGGAGATGCTCCCAACCCCTGCAAATGGTTTTCCCCCCTTTATTTCTGTTGCCACAGCTCTCAGAACTGCCATTTCCTCCATGTTCTGATGCCGTACTTGAGGTGATGGGTCAGGATGTCACGCTTTGATCCTTGCGCCATGTTTCTGAGCTGCTGAGCCCCAGTGGATCCTTTCGGCCCCTTTGCAGGAGTTTCCCAGCTGTCAGAACTATCCAAGAGACTTTATTTACCTCCCTACCACGAAAAATAAAGCCAAGCTGCTTTTGGAAACCTCCCCCCTCCAGGTAGCACCCACAGCAGCACGGACGGGGGCACTCAGGGGGAATGAACCCCCTGAGGGATTTGAGCCTTGAATGCTTGCACCACCAGCTCCTCCAGAGCCGCTCCGTGCAGCCGCTTCCTTGCAGGCACCGAGTTTAGGGTTCGGTGGAGGCCCCACGCAGTGCAGGTGCCGGGGGTGCCCACCACGTGGGGAAGCTCTCACGATGCCAAAGCTCACGGGTGAACTCAGAGCATCCAGGGCAGCCCGAGCAGCTTCCCCCAGCGCGGGAGCCGATGACAATGGGCAATTGTCGAGTTGGGGCCCCTCTCGTTTGAGTTTTCTTCCTTTTATAGTAAGTAGCAGCTGCTCCAGCAGCCGGCCTGCCCCTGCGGGGTGAGGACAGGGCTGGGTTTATAACGGAGGCGGCAGCCCCCGCCTCGCATCGCTCCGCCGGGCAGGACTCATCCCAGCGCCATGCCGCTCAAGAAATCCGAGCCCAAGAAGGACGCGGCCAAAGCAGCCGCAGCCCCGGAGGCACCCAAGGAATTCGCCTTCGACCCCAAAAGCGTGAAGGTGAGCACGGGGTGGCGGCGCGGCTCTGGCGACGGGCGACGCGCGGCGGCACGCGGGCGGTGAGAGCGGCGGGGCGGGGAGGGGAGCATCGCCCCGCGGTGATGCTGCGCGGTGCTGAGCTGGGGATGCTGCGCTGATTCCAACGCCCCGCAGCTCCGGGAGCCCACGGCAGCAATAGAAAACATTCCTGCTGCCCGCCGCCTCCATCGTAAGGCGTTTCCCCCCTGCATCGCCTCCTCCGTCTGGCAGCATCTTTTGTGCGACTCCTCGCATTTTTGCTTTTTTTTGCTGCGATTCCCCAGGATACGGTTCCATTTTGAAGCCCCAGCTGCAGGTCGTTAATAGCGGGCTCGGCACAGGGGCTGCTTAATCCCTGGAAACGGGATTCCATCGCAGCCCCGCAGGCTGAGCATCCTCGCTGCGCTCTGTGCCCGCTGGGCTCTCCATGGGGATCGCGGCTTCGTGGGGAGGGGGGGAACATCCCTGGGCACGGCGTGGCCACGGCCGCCGCCCAGAGCGGGCTGCAGAGCTGACGGGGGATGCTCGAGGGCCGGGCACAGCCTTTCGCTCTCCCAGCACCGTCCCCACGCTCTGTTCTCTTCCCCTGACAGATCGAGTTTGCTGCGGAGCAGATCGAAGGTAAGCGCGGGCATCGCCTTCCCCCACAGATGGCGTTCGATGGGGGATTTTTCTGCAGCAGGAGGTGGGAAAGAGCACCGGTGGGAGGGGAGGCAGGAGAGGAGGCGGAGGTGACGGGGAGCAGTGCTGCCCGGCTTCGGCTGGGATTGAGGCAGCAGGGTGCAGGGGTGCTGCTCTTTGTTCCCCCTCAGTAAGTCAGGATGCCAGCGGGTGCCCAGGGACCTGCAGGCAGTGGCAGCCCTGCCTGGGTGTCACCTGTAGCGATAGAAGAGAGGTCAATGAGAGCACAGGGACACAGAGATCCATCCTGTGAGGACAGATTCAGGGGAATGGTGACGTTCAGCAGGGGACACAAAGGTGCCAAGTAGAAAACGCAAAGGAATTCCCAGCAAACCCAACAAAATATCCAGCAGCCCATCGCGTCTCCATCACCACGTGAAGACAACGACTGCCCAGCGAGCTGCTGCTGAGCGTCACCAAGGAGATGGACCAGAACCTGGAACTCATTAACGCCACAACCATTAAGCTCTCGGTTCTGAGCGTCCACATGGACCGGCTGGAAGGGCAGATCACACGCCTGGCCCACTTGGAGGCAGCAGGATGAAATCCAGGAGCGTGCAGAGCATCTGCTGCAGGAAAAGCAAATGCCTGCCTGCTCACGTGGGGCTGCTGGGGAAACGGGCACCAGGCAGCAGGTTTGGAGCCCATGGCTTCACCCAGGCACAGAAGGAATGGGGGGATCTTGAAGAACTGAGTTCTTCACATTTTGTACCTCAACAACAGCGAGGAACCAGAGACGAGGCTCTGAGCAGTGCAGGCACGTGGTTGTTCATGTAGTCAGTGCACAGCCAACATACAGTTAACATACAGCCAATGTGTGGTCAGTGTCTGCATTCAATGCAGCAGTAAGCCAGGCAGCTGAAAAGCATCATGAAAGGCAGGAAAGCAATGCTAATCTAGGCTTCCTTCCTCCAGGTAAAAAGCAACGCTCTAAAGGTGATAATTTGAGCTTGGAAATGAACCTCCTGCATCCTTCCGAGCAGGGATGTGGAGATGGTGACCCTACACACCAGCAGCATCACACAGTGCCCACCTGGCCGGGTCTGGTGGTGCACATGGGGCGCTGCAGCATCACTGGGGTGTGGAGGGAGGGTTGGGTGGTCTGTGGGAGGCCTGAGCCAAGGAGGGGAAGAGAGGAGGGGATGTTCTGCAATGGGTACAGCAGCCTGCGGCCAGCGCTGGTGCTCAAGGCGGTGCAGGAAGCCCAGCAGGATTCGCCCATCCAGCTCCTTGGGGGTGGCAAAACCAGCTGGAGGAGCCAAGCGACTTCTTCAAGGAGTCTGCGAGCTTCAGGGCTCACTGGCAGGGCCGGGTGCAGCAGCGATGTGTGCAGAGGGCACCCACCACACGTGCGTCCCTCCCTCTCCTCCCACCCTGCTCCTGGTGGGCTGGGAACGGAGCGGCCACGGCAGGGACAGCAGAGCTCTTCCTCCCTGCAGA